AAAGAACAGTCGCTTCCTTATTAATTTGTAAATGGACATAAAAACTTTACTTTTTTTGACCTTATAAGCAAGGAATATTTGTAACTTTGCTATATACTTACCTTTTTTGTTTTGTTTTGTTTTGTTTTTGAGTTGGAGTCTCACTCTGTCGCCCAGACTGCACCGCAGCCTCAACCTGCTGGGCTCCGGCTATCCTTCCGCCTCAGTCTTCCAAGTAGCTGGAACTACAGGCGCACGCTACCACGCCCGGCTAATTTTTTGAATTATTGTAGAGATGAGGTCTCTCCAAGTTGCCCAGGCGGATCTCAAACCGACAGGCTCAGACAATCCACTCACATCAGCCTCCCAAGGCGTGGGATTACAGGCTGAGCCACCGAGCCCGGCTTATACTTCTCTTTAATACTATCTTAATGAATAGGATTATTATAAAATTAAAATTATTAATTTAAATGAGACCACAGACTTTTAAAAGTCTCAAGTAATTGGCAAAAAAATACAAACGTAATAGTGGAATAAATGAATTATAATTCTTTAATTATAGATAGATATCTCTCTATTTTTTTTTTTGTTTTTGAGTTGGAGTTCACCAGCCTGGTCTCGAACCCATGGGATCAGGCAGTCTTCTCACTTTTCCTAAAGTGCTGGGATTATAGACATGAGCCACTGCTCCTGGCCATCTTCTCTCTTAGAGAAGTCAAGCAGGCAACTCTCTGGGGCCAAATTCCAGTTACTAAATATATGGAGGAAGAAACCATGTTATGGTGAAAGAGGAAAAGAGCAGAATCAGTAGACCAGATTTTGTTTATCAATTTTTTTATTTTTTAAAGCAGACATAGACATTATTTATTATTATGTTTTTAACTTTCAATTTTTTTATTTTAAAGATGTGGGGTACAATTCAGGGCTAGGAATACAGATCAGATTTTATTTTTATAACTATGTTTTGTAATCAGGCATATCACTTTTCTATAAACTTTCTGTTCTTTAAAGAGTGAAATGCTTATACCTTTTCTGTACCTCTTGTAGGGTAGTTATTGATCAAATGAGATATTATCTGTCAAAGTATACAAATATAAAGCAATACTATAGTATAAGAATCTTAATTCAGCTGGGCTTGGTGGCTCAGCCTGTAATCCTGCACTTTGGGAGGCTGAGGTGAGTGAATTGCCTGAGCCTGCGGGTTCGAGTCCCGCCTGGGCAACTTGGCAAGACCTCATCTCTACAATAAATCAAAGAAATGAGCTGCTGGGTATGGTAGCGCATGCCTGTAGTTCCCAACTACTTGGAAGGCTGAGGTGGAAGGATCACCGGAGCCCAGCAGGTCAAGGTTGTGGTGGCCGGGAGCGGCCACTGCACTCCAGTCTGGGCAACAGAGTGAGACTCCAACTAAAAAAAAAGATTCCTAATTCATACCTAACGCATCTTGCTGTCCATGTCTGTTGTCTGGTTAGTGGAATGTTTTTTATATATATAGTATTTTATATGAGAACCTACTGTATACAGAGAGTAGGAAGAGAAGAACTTTAGTCAGGGTTTACTGATATTAGCCATTACTTAAGCTTTATAATGATTAGGTGGTATAATTAGAAAAAAGTGGCTATTTTTGAAACTTTTTTTTTTTTTTTGAGTGAGAGTCTCATTCTGTCGCCCAGGCTGGAATGCAGTGGCATGCTCATGGCCACCCCAGCGTCAACCTGTTGGGCTCAGGCGAGCCTTCTGCCTCAGCCTTGCAAGTAGCCAGAACTACAGATGTGCACTACCATGACCTGATAATTTTTTGATGTATTGTAGAGATGAAATCTCACCAAGTTGCCCTGGCTGGTGTCGAACGTCTGGGCTGAGGCAATCCTCTCACCTCTGCCTCTCAAAGTACTGGGATTACAAGCTTGAGCCACTGTGCTCGATGAAACTTATTTTCACATGGCAAATTCTGATGTTGATGTTTCTTAAAAAGAAACACTTGTATAAAGTAAAAAATGTACATAGTCATGATTCTTATATACACAGCATTTTTTCCCTTAGGCCAGATTTTGTGAACTTAGAAAGTTAAATTTCTTTAGTACCAGAAAATTTCACATTTATGGTTGACAAATTATATGTGTGTTGCAGCCATTCTGTAGTCTTATTCAGATCCATGGACATAACAGGGCTCGACAGAGAGATAAGCTTGGGCATATTCTTGAAGAATTTGCTACCTTGCAGGATGAGGTAAGAGCCATGTTCCCTTCCTTTCTGAAATTAAACAGTTTGCACACTTTGGCCAGATTTTTAAAAACAATTCTTAGGAACAGTATTTTGACTATTTAGTTTTTCAACGTGACGTTTTGAATTTTCATTTAAAATGTTACAGTTTCATATACCAAAAAAGAGTTTATAAAAAGAAACAGAACCATAATCCAAACTGATAAAAATCTTGAATTATTTCTTTGATACTCAGGATAAATTATGAAATGCATATAAAAGCATAGTTTTATAGGAAGCTCATATTATGATAAAAATGTATTGATTTTAAAGTTAATTTGTGAACAGCAGCAGTATTAATTGATAATGTAACTAAAGACCTGAAATCAGTTATTTGTATTTTTGTCCTTTAAAATGGATGTGTTTTTAGTTTAAAGTGTGTTCAAGTAAATTGTAAATGTTAGCCATTGTGAAATGACGTTTCATTTTAATAGGCAGAAAAAGTGGATGCAGCGCTTCACACTATGCTGTTGAAACAGGAACCCCAAAGGCAACATTTGGCCTGTTTGGGTACCTGGGTCCTTTACCATAACCTTCGAATTATGATACAGTACCTTCTAAGTGGCTTTGAATTGGAACTCTACAGCATGCATGAATACTACTACATATATTGGTAAGAGAGCAATTTCAGTTAAAATTGTTGGTGGGTAGGATGGATAAGATCTGAGAGAGTTTCTAAGAAATAGAGATGAATTCAGGATACTTTTTCATTTAGTATACTTTAGTTGTGAGATAGAAAAATATTTGTTGAAAATTAGAGCTAGATCATCATCATTTTAAATGCCATAATATTATACAAAATATTTTTCTGAATATTTATGTAACAATTACTAATAAAAAGGGACTCCAAAGTAAATGGATTAATTGAAGATCTTTTATTTGCTCCTTTGGAGAAAAATTAATACATTTTGCCCTGACTTCTGTGGCACTAGGTACTAGCAATGGGTGTACTTGACAGAGTTAACGTTCAAGTTGGAGCCAGATCTTCCTTCTCCTGAGATGAAGTCATGACCAAGATGATTTTTGGGAGCATAATTGTTTCAAACTATGGCCCTGAGGATTTGCCTCAGGAGTCTTGGAGTTGATAAAAGATGATCTTTAGTAGAGTAGTTCTTTCTTTTCACTTGAGGATGATGAGCTAAAGAAACCTAGTAAGAGAATGTTTGAGAATATTTTAGGCATGGAAATGCTGTCATAGAAAAAAATAAATCAAGAAAATTGAGTATTAGTGAATTCAGTTATTTTGAATCTTCTTTTTAGTCTGGCAAAATTGATGTTAATATTAAGCTAATAACCTACGTTACCTATCAAAAACACCTAAGTTTTTATATTAGACTTTCATTTGTTTGCCTTTTCAGCTCATCATTAGATTTACTTAGTATTTAAAATACTGTATATTCTCTGAAGTCTGGGAGGGAAAGCAGTTCTCTTCTACGCTGTGGGCATGGTTTTGTTATGAGTAGTGAGGGCTCTTAACAGCTAACTTCTGGCTATGAAAATTGAATTTGAGCATTAACCATGGTCTTAAGAGAATAATTTTATTCTGTTCGCCAACATTTATATAGATAATACCTAGTATCCCTTTCCGACAAGTGTTTATACTTTGGATACATTTTGTTATTAATTCAGACTCTTATGTTTTGTTTTTTATTTTTCAGGGGTTTTTTTGGTGTTTGTCATTGTTGTTGTTGTTGCTGTTGTTGTTTTGAGGCAGGGTTTACTGTGTTACCCAGTTAGGTTTCAAACTCCTGGTTCAAGCAGTCTTCCCACCTCAGCCTCCTGTGTAGCTGGGACACTTGGCTACTAATGTTCATTTTTCTTTTTCTTTTTTTTAAATTAAAATAGAAACAAGGTCTCTCTATGTTTCCCAAGCTGATCTCAAACTCTTGGGCTCAAACTGTTGTCCTACCTTGGTTTTCCATAGTGCTGGGATTACAGATATGAGCCATCGCACCTGGCCTTTCTGTTCATTTTGTAGGGAGACATGCTTACGTTTTTTTTTTTTTTCCGCTTGCTTTCTCAGATCAATATATAATTCTTATATGTTTTTTTGCAAAAAGAATTGGGATCTCACCTGAGTAAATGAATAATACTCAGATTAAAAACTCCATACAAATTTTTATACATAATCAGATTTCATTTATTTTCTTGTTTACCAGAATAAATTTTACTTCGCCTATAAATATCCTTGGGGCCTTCATATTGGTTTTAAACTGCTTTTTGGATTCAAAAACTATAGACTGGGCTCCTACATTTTTCTAAGATAATCCTTTGTTGTAGTTGTTCGTGACTATGACTCCTAAGGCATAATGAGCCCTTTTAAAATCAGCAAAAAACAGAGATTCTTAAATGTGATGTGTATTATAATCACTTGGAAAGTGCATTCATACACACATTTCTGGTCTTAGTTCCTAGAAATCCTGGCCTAGGTCTATGGTAGGACCCAGTAATTTGCTTTTCTAACTAGTTCCCAGGTGAACTGCTGCTGGTCCAGAACTGACTATTTGAGAGCCACTGGAATAGAGTCTCAGCACTCTGATTCCTTAGATATCATGGTGTGTAAATTTTGACAAAAGCTTATTGAGGTACCTGATATTTGAAAACAAAAGCCTGCTTCCTGTCAGCTGTCCCCTTTATTCATCTGTCCTTAGAGTAGAAAATCAGAAGGTAGAAGGCACCATCAGTTCCCTATAGAAATCTTTAATTGAAGATATAGGTTAGGCTATAGACCCTCACATTTTGTAGTATGGTGGGGAAATAAAATTCAGTTGTATACTATAAAGAGATACTATAATAAATGCTTTTCTTAAATTCAGTGCCAGTTAGTGTCTCTATTTATGAAAGTATATGCTTTCTTATTTACTATTGATCATGTTACAAAGTGTATATATTCATATCCTAGATTTGAATCACTTTTCTAGCTTATCAGAATGTACTGTTAGTTTAAAGTTCTAGAAAATTAGTGTGTAGCAGAGTGTTCTGTTTCACATTTCATTTATTGAATAAACTCAAGTATATTGTAATATTCTCAATATTTTAAGAATGGTTTTATATTATGCCAGTTTTTCAAACCTTTCTCTGAATTTATTTGCTTCTGTTATTAACAAAGAAAATATTTACTTAATAGACTGTGGTGAAATGTGTCCTGATATAGTAGAAACAATTGAATAGGCATTCATTTGATTTATATTTATAATTATCAAGAAGTCTTTTTTAAAGTTATAACATGTAGAAGGGGAGAGTTAATCCTTATAATGCTTAATTTTTGTAAGATCTATTATCTAATCAGTTTATCTGTTATTTATTTATCTATTTATTTATTTTGAGGCAGGATCTTGCTTTGTTGCCCAGGCGGGAGTGCAGTAGCTTGGTCATGATTCACTGCAACCTCCAGCTCATAGGCCCAAGTGATCCTCCTGTGCTAGCCTCCCAAGTAGCTTAGGATTATGGATGTGTACCACTACACCTGGCTAATTTTTTATTTCATTTGAATTTTTCAGAGACAGGGTCTTGCTATATTGCCAGACTGTCTTGAACTCCTGGCCTCAAGCAGTCCTCCCACTTCAGCCTTCCAAAGTTCTAGGAACACAGGCATGAGCCACCACACCTGGTCCAATGATCTGTTTTTAAAACTTAAAGCATTATTACAAATATCTTTTATTACTAATACATGTGTTGATAAAGCTATCTTATTTAGACATCTACCATCAACTAACATTTTGTGTCCTTTAAGGTATCTCTCTGAATTCCTTTACGCATGGTTGATGTCAACATTGAGTCGGGCTGATGGCTCTCAGATGGCAGAGGAAAGGATAATGGAAGAGCAGCAGAAAGGCCGTAGTAGTAAGAAAACAAAGAAAAAAAAGAAAGGTGCTGTGTATTATTTTTAAACCTAAGAAATAAAGAACATCAGAGTATACTTTAGTTTCTGCAGATAAATAGATGCAGTGGTACTCGAGAGTTGGTTGTTATATTTTAGTTCTCATTCATCTCTTCAGAAATTATGAGGTAGGGACTGAGTCCCAAGATGAGTGAGAGAAGTCTTTTTGGTTTCTTTCCTTGCTTTTCTTTTGCTGCTTTGCTATTTCATGTATCAGAGGATCTTTGATCAAGAAGTAGTGAAAGCAAGATAGGCAGCAGGAGACCTCCGACTGTTTGACAGCGCCTTACAGCTCTGGAGCGAAGTAGCTCTGGAGCTGTGCTGTGACAGTGGTGCAAAAAGGGAATCACAGAACACCTTGAGGCATCATCCAAGAACCATGAGGAAAGAGAATTGTTTCAAAGAGACTTTCCTATCGATCATGTGGGGAGGGCTATAGCTATTGCTGCAATCATTATAAAACACTGCTTTATGTTTCTTTACAATTTAAGCAGTTTGTGTGGGTCGTTAAATGACTATTCATGGGTTTCCTATATAAGAGCTTTAGTCTCTAGGATGGCGTATTAGAGGTTAAAATTACTTTGTACTACAATTTTACAGTGTTTGCTATTTTGGGGACATGATTATTTAGCTCTTTAATTGTATTTTTTTATTTGTAGATTTTTGTCCATAAATAAAATTTGGCCTGTGGAACAAACTGAGGTTTTAATTGAGTAAACAAGCGGGAAGAATTTTTTTTTTTTTTTTTTTG